ACCTTATCAAGCAAGATAAAGGAGTTGAGCCAAAAAAGAAGTGTATCAACTGGGTCTAGGGGTGCAGGCCTGTAATCTTAGCACTAACAGGTTGAGATAGGAGGAGGATCATCAGATGCAGCCCAACCTAGGCAATTTAGCAACTCAGCGAGATTCCGTCTCAAAACAGTCAATCAATCCATTGATCAATGGGTTGGATATATAGCTCAATGTGAAGACCCTGGGCTCAATCCCCAGTACCAGAGGGAAGGGAGGAATCTCATTTCCAGCACCTTAGTATTAGGAGTAAATCAATTAGTAGTGAGCCTCCACTGTCAGTATAGAAGTTTAGGTATGATGACAGAGTAAGGAATAGAGCCTTGGTTTAACACAAAAGAAGTGAAGGGACAATACTGTACTCTAAGGTGTGGTCAGGCAGCCTTGAGACACCCAGAGTGTTATAAGCTAAATAACCCAGGCCCCAACCCCAGACCCAAAGAGCAGGTTCAGTCTGAATTTCTGTGGATTTGAATGTCCCATCCTAACCTTACTGGCAGTCTGCTGATGACTATGCAGCATGGATCTGGGCTCTGACTACCTCTTTTGTTTATCAGTGGGAGCAGGGACCATGTCTTGAATCGAACACTGCCATAAAATAGTGGATTCTGAAAGATAACTACAGGACGCTTGAAATCACAGAGAAATATCTTTCTTCTTTTTTGTTTTTGCTTTTTTTTGTTTTTGTTGTGGTCCATTTGTAGTTTTTAAAAATTGTTTTTGCTTTACATGAGTGTCAGCATTGTTTTTATTTTTTTTTATTTTTTTTTTCAAAAACAAGATACACACATAATTTTAATGGGATATTTCAGCATTGTTTTTAATCTTGCTTTTCTTCTCCTCCTTTTCCCTCTCTTTTTTCTTCTCCTTCCCTCCAGTTTTCAACAGTTTCCTGGGACTTGGATAATCTTCCTTTGTCCTTCAGCCTTAATTTTAATCTCTTTTTATTCTTTTCTCTATTTTTCCTTCTCCTACCTTTTATATTTCCTCCCCTTAATTATTTCTCTCTTATTTTCACTCTTTTTTCTTTTTTCTCATTTTTTCTTTTATCTTCTCTTTCCTCAGTTTTTTTGTTCTATCTTTACCTAATTCTACAGACATCTTTCTATTCCCCAATAAGATTCTTTGTACCACTTCTCTCTCCTTTTCGTATCATCGAGGTTAAGGTTTCAATAGTTTCCTTTTGTATCCTCCCATTCCCAAATCCTAAATCTTTTATAGGGATAAAACTTTGTTAATCTTTTGATAGGTAACTCTGTAAAATTACTGTTGAACTCTTTTCTACCATTAGCAGAGATATACAAGTTGCATTTAGTACGTATCAGCTGTAAGTCAATACCTGACTTGCCTTAATGTTCACATCATTGCTGGTCCCTTCTCTAGAATTAACGATGGTTGAGGTAGATTAACTAATGGTCAACTTGTAACACCCCACTGAACTGAATCAGCATGGTGCTAGAGGTATGGAAGGCCCACCGGAGGATTGCTGCGAAGAGCATAAAAAGAGAACTGGAGGTAAGTTGTTGATTCTTCTGGAGAAGCTTGTCTCACTGGTTTTCCTGATATGAACTCAGCTGTTCTCATCATTGGAGGATCTCGGGTCCTCGTTGTCATGGAGGATGGCTGCAGTTCTCATTAGGGGAGCTCTGGTCCTTACTTTGAGTGTCAGTTCCTAGCTCTAGTGCAGATCCCTCAGCCTACTGGCACAGACTTCCTGGCTTCCACCACTGACTTTTGGGCTTTCCCAGTGAAGATCCTTGATACAGACTTGCATAAGACATTGTCGTGGGTTCTATACTCCAGTTGGACATTGCTATGGGCTCTAGGTCTTCAGGATGTCCTGTGGCATTTTGTTTAAAATACACACCTTGGTAACTAAAATTCCCTTAATAGCTAAAATGGCTTTAGTTCTGTACTGATTAAGTTACTGTAAAAGCTTGGATTTATTTTTGTAGGCCTTCTTGGCTGAGAACTAGAACATTAGCATTGGGGTTGCTCTGCTGGAGAAATGTAAATTGTACAATGTCCTGTGCAGGACATTGCTGTGGGATCCAGATCTCTAGAGTGTGGATAAATATTTTGTGCTCCTTTGTATTTGACTCTTTTGGTGAATATTATAAAATAATCCTATAAATTATGTGTTCTGTATTAAATCTTTTCCCTTGTAAACCGACTACAACAAGGATGTAAAATAATATTCCATGCAACAGGAACTTGGATAAAAGCAGGAGTTGCTACCCTAATTTCAGACAAAGTGGATTTCAAGCTAAGACTGATCAAAAGAGACAAAGTAGGTCACATGTTGGTTAAGGGAACAATTCAACAGGAAGAGTTAACAATTATACACACCAAATACTGGTGTACCCAACTTCATAAATAAACACTAATGGACATAAAAAACAAATAAACATCAGCTAAACACCAATACAATTGTTAATAGGGGACCTCAATACCCCACTGTAACAAATGGACAGATCAACTAGACAAAAAATCCACAAAGAAGTATCAGAGTTAAAGCTAATCTTTGAACAAATGGACTTAACAGATATCTACGGTTTCTATCCAACAACAACAGATTACACATTCTTCTCAGCAGCACATGGGACTTTCTCTGAAACAGACCATATGCAAATCAATAAAGCAAGTTTAAAAAAATGAAAAAGAATTTAAATTATCCCATGCATATTATCAGACCACAGTGCACTGAAACTAGAAAATCAATGGCAAAAGACAGCACAAAAAATATGCAAGCACATGGAAATTAAATAATATCCTCTTGAATAATCAGTGAGTGACAGATGAAATTAAAGAAGAAATTAGTTTCTGCAATCGAACGATAATGTGAGTATGACATACGAGAACCGACGTGACACAATGAAAGCCATCCTAAGAGGGAAGTTCACAGCAGTGAATTCACATATCAGGAAAACAGAATAAGTTAAATAAATACATATAAAGTATGAAACAAAAGATAAGAGGCAAAGAGAGAGAGGAAAAAAGGTATTATAATCCAGCACAGGCAATGTATCTGAAAGTGTATCTTGACTTAGTGCAATTTTCTTACATGTTTCATATGCTCTTTGGCCTATTAGTCTGGTTTTCAATCTGTTAATCTAATTAATATGATAATTAACTTTATAAATAAATGAATCTGATGCTGGCCATAGAAAAGGGGATGGATGGAGGGAGAAAAAAATAACTGGAATTTGTTATGTACATGCACCAATTCCCTACAGGGAATGTAATCATTATGTACTAATAAAACTTAAAAAAAAAAAGGTAGGCACCAGTACTCGATGCCACTATTTCTTGTTCATTGACCTCCTCCTAATAAACAGACCTCATATTTAGAAGTCTGGGCATGTGGAAGTTTAATCTGATCAGTTTGTGAGTGGTGATTCAGGAAGGCTAAGAAAAAAGAACTTCCCTTGCCTCTATTCCTACAGCTAACTTAGAGATCATCTTGAACTAGGTAAAACAGACAAAAACTGAAGGGGCATCCACTTCCAAACGGATTTCCTCTCAAATCCCAAACCCATGCCGTATGTTCCCTAACATGAAACTTAGGGGTTCTATAGGGTAAACCTTGAAAACCCTGGTTTAAACAATAGAAAAAGTATTCTGAATTAGTTTAAGAGTACATGCCAATGAGAAACTTTCTAATCTATGAATGTGTTAATATTCAGCATAAGCATTTTTTTGTACTGGGGAAGACATTTAACATTTCTGATCTTACTTCAGTTATCTGTAATATGTAAATAGATCTTCATCTCAAGGCCTGTAGTACATGGGCAAGAAACAGAAAATATAAAATATTGTCAGGCATTATTACTACTCAGGACAGAATCTTTTCAGAGAGAGGAACAAAATAGAAATTAAAACTGCCACTAACCTACAAGAAACTACGATTTCCTCAAGGAAAAAAATCAGAGATATGTGTTCTCTATAAATTACTTTTTTCTGTTGAGGAATAAGATCCCATAATCATATAATTCTTTTTAACATTTGTTTCCCTATACGGAATTATGTCATTTTAATGAATACCAAAAAATTACATTCAGGGTCCAGCTAGTGTTATTACTTTTAAGCTTTATTAAATTCAGTTCTAGTAAAAGTGGATTGAAAATTTTTAAAACGTCTAAAATACATGAAACACAACTCCTGGACAAGTTTCCAAAACTACACTAATGTGATTATCCTAACAACTGGTACCTCCAGAGCTTTGGCTTCTGCTGGCATTACTATTCCTATATCCAATGGATATTTTAAGTTCATTATATAATGGAAGAGATCTTATCAGTAGGACACATGTATCTTTCAAGTAGTTTTTTAATGGTAAAATTTTACCAATAGATCCATCTCTATATACCTTTTACTCACAAGATAATAAAATTCTTTAGCCTGGCATTTAAGATCTTCCATAAGCAGGAACTCCTTGTCATGGCCTGAATGTGTCCTCCTCAAATTAATATAGTGAGGTCCTAACCACCAGAACAGCTATGTTTGGAGACGGGACCTCTAAAGAAGTACTAAAGTTTAAATGAGGTCATGGCATGGAGACTAGAGTGGATAGGATTAGGGTCCTTATATAAGACCCACTGAGATCTCTCTTGGAGTATACACACAACGTCAAAGTCACGTGAGCACACTGTGGGAAAGCAGCTGTTTGCAATACTAAGGGGACAGCCCTTGTCAGACACTAACCATGTTGACACCTTGATCTTGGGACTTTTTGTCCCCAGAACTGAGAAAATGGCTCCTGTTGTTTAAGCCACCCAATTTGGGTATTTTGTTACCGAAGTCTGAGCATATTAATATACTATCTCTGCTACTAACTGCTCCCTAATGCTTCTTATTTCAGAAACATTTCCCTGAACATGAAATCAGATTCATAAAACGTGCTCTGTATGAAGTACTATTTACAATCACTTGCAGTCATGTTGTCTTGTAAAAATTATACTTACCCTTGAAGAGTAATGTACTCTTGGGAGCTTTCAGCCCAACAACCACTCAACATTGCGGCAAAATAACTAGATCTGGCACTTAAAATGGCCCTAAAAGGGGAAAACAGGTAAATATTTATGTTATGAAAAATATAATTTTAACAAACTGTTCATCTTTACCTCTTATAAACATAACATTCTATTTGTCTTCTTTCTTTTCACTGGTAGGATTATTCTAACAAAAATTATAAGCTTACATTTATGCCTAAGTATTTTGTTTGCTGAAAATATTAATTTGAATGTCTTTATTTTTTCTCTTGATGTCTCTAATTTTAATAATAACAATTAAAACTATTTCCATGACTAAGAGATTAATATATCACAAATGGAAAAATAAAGACCAAAGATATCATTTAACATTTCGAGGAAATAATAATGAGAGACTACATATATTATTTGTCAATTAAAATTTTCAAAAAACTGAAAAAGACTACAATGATAAGTATTCCACGTTCCAGTTCAGAATTCAGGAAAGGATATTTTCTTAGATTTGAGAAAATGGTGATGAGAGATTTTCTCTTCAATTTCTATTGTACTTTTCTCAAATAAAATGTTCATTCATTCATCCTTTAATCCAACAAATATCCATTGACTTCTAGTCTGTCCTAGGCATTACTCTAGGTGTTGGGAACACAGCACGAAGTGAGATATATAGAATAGGGTTATAGTCCAAAGGAGGACAGGTTGGAAGAATGAAGAGAAAAAGGAGAAAGAAAGACACTTCTGATGCCTTCAAATGATACTTTGTTTTCCATGTGGTTCACAGATGCTTTTATTTGTAGTTTGGTTCACAAACAGAAGCATTGACAAAATTTTGTTTTTGTTTATAAACTCTGCATAGGGGTGACAAATACAACCATGGCCATTTTTCCCACACAAACACAGACATGGTCATCTTTTCCAGAATTGTAGAGCACATTAATCTTGTGAACTGAGGTACCACTGTGTGTATTTGAAGGTACCACTGTGTATATATGAAGGCATCAATAGCTTACTAGATTGTCTCAAACCAACCTTCCTCCTTCCTGCTGAAAACAAGTAGGAAAGATGTTTAAATATATATACACACATATATATATGTATATAATATTTATTTTATGTTTAAATATATAACCTTTATATATATATACACTATATCTTTTATATTTATATATAATATATGAACAGACACACTATGTCTTTTATATTTATATATATATAAATATACACAGTGGTACCTCAGTTCACAAGATTAATGTGCTCTACAATTCTGGAAAAGATGACCATGTCTGTGTTTGTGTGAGAAAAATGGCCATGGTGGTATTTGTCACCCCTATGCAGAGTTTATAAACAAAAACAAAATTTTGTCAATGCTTCTGTTTGTAAACCAAACTACAAATAAAAGCATCTGTGAACCACATGGAAAACAAAGTATCACTTGAAGGCATCAGAACACTACAATGCTGGTTAGACAGGTTATAAGAAAGAAGACAAAAGAGGAGACTCAAGCACCTGAAGTAACTTTTTTCACTATCTGGAAGCAAAAGCAAAGGCTGGGGGGCTGAGAAGTTGAACAAAGCTTCTGACAATCCTAGCAGGTATAGAGGGCCACAAACTAGAGCAAGGGGTTCATCAGTGAGGAGTCTTGGTGGATAACCTAAGGATGAAGACTAGATAGGGAATAGATCATGATTAGACCTGAAGGTCAGCTTTCAATCAACTCAATCCCTGACCAGAACAAATCAATCAACACCTAGTCTGCCATTCACAAGCAAAAGGAGGTCCTGTTTGCATTAAAATAGCACTATACAGAGTATAAAAATATCTGTACCAATTTTCAATAAAATATCCAACCATCATCCAAAGATAATCATGCACAACAATGAATAACAAAAAAATGAAGAAAAATTCATTTACAGTAGTATGAAAAAAAGGCACAGGAACAATGTATCAAAAAACGTGCAAGATTTCTACACTAAAACTATAACATACCAGTGAGATAAATTCAAAAAGACCTAATGGAGAGCAAAAGTGTGCCCTTGTACTTGCAGACTCATGTTTATTCTTCTTAATATCTAGATTCACTTAATACCAGCCCAATCAAGTAATTTTAGTAGTGATTCATGGATAGATTGTAAAATGTATATGGTAATTTAAAGAACCCATAATAGCCCAAACAACCATAAAAGAGAAGAAAAAATTTGCAAGGCATGATTTCAAGCAACACAATGTCACTTACTAGAAACCAACAGTCAATAAGATAACATGGTATTGATGAAGAATAGACATACAGATCACTGAAACAAGATGGAGAGTCCAAAAATAAATGTATATATATGCCCAAATGCTTTTCAACAAAGTTTAAGGTGATTCACTGAGGGAAAAGGTGGTTCTATCAACAAAAGTACTGAAATACAAAATGTTTATAGAGATACAAATGAACCTTGACACTTAACCTCACACTATATATAAAAATCACCTTAAAGTCAACAAAAAGCCAGGTGTGGTGGCACACGCCTGTAATCCTAGCACTTGGGAGGCTGAGGCAGGACTGTTGCAAGTTCGAGACCAGCCTGGGCTACAAAGTGAGCTCAAGGCCAGCCTGAACTGCATAGTGAGACCCTGACTCAAAAAGACAAAACAAGACAAACAAAAAAAAATCAATAAAGAAAAAAGAATTAGAAGCAATGAAGTTTATTCAAGAGTTCCTGGACAGCTCTAAAAGAACAAATTTAGGACTCACTGGCTTCAAGCACTGTGGAAAAAGTACAGGACAACAACACAGAAAACCCATTCACTAAAATTACAGCAGTGATTTCCCAAATCTGGATAATTAAGTGGATACCCAAGTACTGGAAGTATTTAAAACTCCAAGTATGTATGATCAGAAAAAAGCCTCTACACAATGTAACATAGTTAAGTTGTCTAAAATTCAGAAGAATGAAAGAGCTTTGTGCAGTGGCAGTCTTGTAGCCAATAAGGTTTATCTGAGGTGCGATTACTGCTAACTGAAAACAGAAGAATGAAAGAATATTCAAAACAGAAACACCAAATCACTTATTATTCTGATGGCACACCCATCAGAACAATGTAAGATTTCTCAACAGAAATTCTAAAGACCAAGAAGGCTTGGAATGATGTGTATCAAGCCGTGGAAGAAAATAATTGCCCAATTAAGTGACTGTATTACTTGAGAGTTATCTTTCAATACTGAAGGAGAAATATGGACTGGCCAAATAAGTACAAACTGCAGAAACTCGTGACTACTAGGCCAGCACTGCACAAAATACTTAAGGCAATCCCACGCTGAGGAAGAGGACAATCACAAGCACAATACTGGGAAAGAAAGAATCTCATTAGAAGAGTATATAAATGAGTGAAAATCAGGAATGAATCATCCAAACAAAATGACCTGAATTTCTACATACATTTCAATAATAACTCAATGTAAATGATCCTAATTCTCCAATTAAAGGGCACAGACTGGAAAACTGGATCAAACAACAGGACCCAACCATATGGTGGCTGCAAGAAACATACCTCTCTTGTAAAACTGTACACAAACAAAAAAGAAAGGATAGAAAATAACATCCTAAGCAACTAGAACCTAAAAGCAAGCAGCAACAACTATACTAATATTCAAAAAAGTACAGTTCAAAGTAAAATTAGCCAAAGGAGACAAAACAGGTAATGACATATTGTTAAATGTAACAGTTCACCAAGAAGAAATAACAATTGTAAATAAACATGGACTGAATGTTGATATACCCAATTAGCTAACAGAAACACTACTTAACATAGAGACACAGAAATCTCAATACAAACACAGTGAGGGATTTCAATACCTCACTCTCACAAACAGATGGGTCAACCAGGAAAAAAAAGATCAAAAAAACAAAACATCAGGGTCAGGGATATAGCTCAGCAGCACAAACACCTGCCTGGCAAGCACAAGGTCCTGAGTTTGATTCCCAATACCAAAAAAAAAAAAAAAAAAATCAGAGTTAAACTATACTATAGCTTGAATAGACTTAACAGGGGGCTGGGGATTTAGCTCAGGGGCAAAAGCGCCTGCCTGGCAAGCGCAAGGTCGTGAGTTCAGTTCCTGGTACCGGAGAAAAACCAAAAAAAAAAAAAAAAAAAAAAAAAAAAAAAAAAAAGAATAGACTAACAGAAATGTACAGAGTTTTCTATCCAACAACAGCAGAATATACATTTTTTTTCAGCGACCCACAGAATTTATTCCAAAATAGACCATATTTTAGGACATAAAGCAAATAAATAAACCTAGAAATCAACAGAGACTTTAAGAGTAAAAACCAAAGAGCTGCTGAGACAGAAAGCAGGAAAACAATTCTATTCACAACAGCTTAAAAAAAAAACCCCTAAAAATCTGTATCTATATCTATATCTGTACCTGTACCTGTGCCTGTATCTATATCTGTATCTACCTAACCAAGAAGGTAAAAGGCCTCCTTAAGGAAAATTACAGAACAGTGAAGAAATAAATTGAGAAAGATAACAGAAAATGAGTCCATTGTCCTGGGACAGCATGGCTGGTGAGCCTTCCTCCATTGCCCCAGGATAGCTCAGCTGGCGAGAGGAGTCTAAGTTCATGTTCTTCTTTTTCTCCATTGTCCCAGGACAGCATGGCCTGTGAGAGGACTATGAGTTTGTGCTACTTCCTTCCTCCATTGCCCTGGATGGTTCTGCTGCCAAAAGGAGTCTGAGTGCATATCCTCTGTTCCTCCATTGTCCCAGGAGGACACAGCTGGCAAGAGGAGTATAGTTCTGCTCCTCCCTTACTCCATTGACCCAAGAGAGCACTGGCTGGTGAGAGAAGTCTGAGATCTGCCCCTCCTTCCCTCCACTAGTGGGACTCAGGGCCTGGAGACTTGTGGGAATGATAGTGACACACAGTAGAACCTGGCTAATGTGCACGCAATGGACTGGCAGAACTAGAGGAATGGAAATATCCTATGCAACATCAGTAATATGAGCCAACAGGTGACCTCTAACTTTTTTTTTTAATTCTACTTGTCTTCTTCCTCTATTCTGTCAATTATCTCATT